TTTGTAGAAAGAAAAAAATGTCAAAGAGGTCATGGGACATTGTTCAATAATAAAGCACATGTCTGCACAAGGTCTTGGATTTGGCCTCCAGCATACCTGCCACCAGTGAGTGAGGAAAAAGGACTTGAATAAATTTTCTCCAGAGAAAGTAAGAAAATCTTCAATCATCCTATGTAGCATGTTTCTTTCCTTTTATTTTTTTCAAGATAGGGTGATGGGGAATGTACTGTATATGTTTATCTTATTGGTTGTTAAAGTTCTGTGTAGATTTATCGTAACAATAGGGTTGCTCTGTGTAGCTTTGAAGGTTTTCCTGGCACTCAATCTGTAGACCAGGCTGGCCTCGAACTCACAGAGATCCACCTGCCTCTGCCTCCCGAGTGCTGGGATCAAAGGCGGGTGCCACCAACACTGGCTCAAATGTAGCAGGTTTCATTTCATTAGTTATTGGGGATTGCCAATCAAAACTATTTTGGTAGGGACTGAAGAGATGGCTCAGCAGTTTAGAATTTTCGCTGTTCTTCCAGAGAGGCCCAGGTTTCCCCATTACCCACATTTGGTTCCTAGACATAGGATTCAATGCTTTCTTCTGGTTTCCAAGGGTACCTGGCACTGGCATACATGTAGGAAAAACATAATATAAAATAAATGTATCCCAAAATCAAAACAAAACATAGTAGATCACAGGATGGGGAGTTAGCTCAGGAGGAGAACACTCGAGTGTCTGGTATATACATGGTCCTGGGTTTGATACTCACCCTGAGAAGATGGAGAGAGAGGGGGAGAATTATATCATTTATACCTACTGGAATAGTTACTATAAAAAACACAAAAATATGGGCTGGAGAGATGGCTCAGTGGTTAAGAGCACTGACTGTTCTTCCAGAGGTCCTGAGTTCAATTCCCAGAAACCACATGATGGCTCTCAACCACCTTGAATGAGATCTTGTGCCCTCTCCTGGCATGCAGGCAGAAGACTGTATACATAAGAAATAAATAAAATCTTAAAAAAAAAAAAAAAACTAACACAAAAATAGCCAGGAGGTGGTGGCACATGCGGCACTCAGGAGGCAGAGACAGGTGAATCTCTGTGAGTTTAATGCCAACCTGGTCTACAAAAGCAAGACCCAGGATAACTAGAACTACACAGAGAAACCCTGTCTTGACCCCCCCACCAAATAAATAGCAATTATCATGCAGCCAACAATTCTCCTTTTAGATAGAAGAAATGAAAAATATAGCAAAATGTAGTATCACATACTGCAATCCCAGAACTTGAGGAAGACTGAGGCAAGAGGATTGTTGTGAGTTTTTTGAGGCAAGCCTGAACTGGATTGTAAGACCCTGTCTAAAAATAAATCCCTAAACAAAACAAAAACAAAAAACCCAAATTGATAAACATATATCCTGACAAAAACTTTCAGGTAGAGTGGCACACACCTTTAATCCCAGCAATAGAGAGACAGAGGCAGGTGGATCTACAAGTTCAGGCCAGCCTGGTCTATAGAGTGATTTCAAGAACAGCCAGGATTACATAGTGAGAAAGTGGATCAGAAAATAAAACAAGAATTTGCATTTAAATGATTATAGTGGCATCATTCACTACAGATAGAAGGCAGATGCAATACAAATACTCTTTAATAACATTCTGTCTTTCTGCTTTTATTTAGTCATTAAAAGTTAAATTCTGACATATGCTGTGAGGTGTAAGAATCTTTAAAACATCATGCTAAGCCGGGTGGTGGTGCATGTCTTTAGCCACAGCATTCAGGAGGCAGAGGCAGGCAGATCTCTGTGAGTTTGAGGCCAGCATGGTCTACAGAGCAAGTGCCAGGATAGGCTTCAAAGCTACACAGAGAAACCCTGTCTCGGAAAAAAAAAAATCATGCTAACTGAAATAAGCCAGCACTTGTTTGCATGGTCCTGCTCATCTGAGGTACCCAGGGCTAGCAAATTCATGAGTGATTGTAGCTAGAAGTTTTGAGGGTGGGGAGGGGGGCAGTGTTTGTTGGTTTACTTTTTATTTTTATTTATTGCTACCGTGTGGGTTCTAGAGAGTAAACTCAGATTGTCATGCTTAATAGCAGGCACCTTTACCTGTTGAGCAATATTGCTGGCCCTGGAGTTAATTTTTTCTTACTAAGATTTTTGTTTTTTGAGAGGGTCCCTCTCTGTATCCTTGGTTGCTCTAGAACACTCTTTGCAGGCAGGCTGGCCTTGAATTCATAGGGATCTGTCTGTCTGTCTCCAGAATACTGGGAATAAAGCTGTTGAACAAACACATCTACTCTTAAGATTTTTATCACTCATTTGTGTGTATGTGTGTGTGTGTGTGTGTGTGAGCTCGCGCTCGAGAGCACAAACCCTCAGAAGACAGAAGAAATGTTGGATTTCCTAGAGGTAAAGTTACATGTATTTATGAGGAAATAAACTGGAGTCCTCTGGAGGAGCAGCAAATGTTCTTAACTGCTGAACCATCTCTCCATCTGTGGAAATACTTTTTCGTTCCTTTGTTTTTTGAGACAGTGTTTCTCTATATAACAGCTCTGACTGTCCTGGAACTCATTTGTAGACCAGGCTGGTCTTGAACTCACAGAGATCTGCCTGCCTCTGCCTCCCAAGTGCTGGGATTAAAAGGTGTGCACCATTATGCCAAATCTGGAGTTACTTTTTTTTTAATTTTAAATTCTATTTCTTTCTTTCTTTCTTTTTTTTTTTTTTCCAGACAGGGTTTCTCTGTGGCTTTGGAGGCTGTCCTGGATTGTAGACCAGGCTGGTCTGGAACTCACAGAGATTCCCCTTGCTTCTGCCTCCCAAGTGCTGGGATTAAAGGCGTGTGCCACCAACGCCTGGCTATTTATTTATTTATTTATTTATCATGTATACAGTGCATACCAGAAGAGGGCACCAGATCTGGTTGTGAGCCACCATGTGGTTGCTGGGAACTGAACTCACAACCTCTGGAAGAACAGTTAGTGCTCTTAACCCCTGAGCCATATCTACTTTTTTTTTTTTTAAGATTTTATTTATTTATTATGTATACAACATTCTGCTTCCATGTATATCTGCACACCAGAAGAGGGCACCAGATCTCATAACGAATGGTTGTGAGCCAGCATGTGGTTGCTGGGAATTGAACTCAGGACCTCTGGAAGAGGTCCTGGAAGAACAGCCAGTGCTCTTAACCTCTGAGCCATCTCTCCAGACCCCCCCCCCCCAGTTACTTTTTAA